AAAGAAATAAGAAGTAAAATATTCTACTTATTTTATTTTTTAATCGAGATACTTAAGATTCGCATATAGCTTACTTACTTACGTATTTCACGCTTTCTTGTGGTGAAAAATTCATATTTCAATAAATATTATGAAAAGATCTAACCATAAGGGGTTTTTCTTAAAATATTCGTTTCAAAAGAAAAAAAAATTAATTTCACCTTTCCTTAAATTTTTTTTACAAAACTAAAACTGAATCGAAAATACAAAAAATACAATATTTGTACACGTTTCCATTTTAACTCAAATTTTCATAAAATTATTTACATTTTTTTATTTAAATCATAAACCATCAACCAAGCGTAAGACATGTTCAACCCATCGAAATCGTCGTATCTTAATGCCATTGTAATTATTTTTTTATTAAGTAAATCGCGTGGATACATGGCGTATAAGTTATGAATTCGGGCTCTTTCGAAAAAAAACTTCTGTGATGAGCCTAGCGTTGTCGAAAAAATTCCACCAACCTCCATTACCAGCTAAAATGACCTGAGCCGAGATTATGACGTTCTCGTTCGGCTGCTTAAAACTATTCTAGAAAAGCCTTTACTAGTTGCAATAAATGAGTTGCACTTTCAAAGTCCGCAGTAATATCAGTTGTAGAGATCTAGGCATTATAGGAAGTTATAGTTCCGCCTGGGGGAGTGCTGTGAGGTAATCAGAAATAAAATTCCAAGAAAGAACAATAAACTGTACAATTTATAAAAATAAATAAATATAAAAATAAGGCAGTGGCTATGACTAGCTCGTATCCTGCGAAAATATTGCTGAATACCTTGCAACGCTTGTTGAACGGAGGGGGCAAGGGATAGTAATTCCTTTCGAGTGCCAGCTATCACAATGTAAATTTTTATTTTACAGAAAGCTATTAGTCATGCTGTTGCCTTAGGCTGATGTAATGTACCTACACAAAAGAGAGAAATTCCAAAATTTATATGTTGAAAAAATATTTGTATTGTGATGATTTCCTTCAGCAAGCATTAAGTGAGAACACAATCTATATTTGCACTTATACAAATGAAAGTGTAAAAAAAGAACCTTAAAGCAATTTTCCAAAACAAAAAACAAATCCACAAAGCATTAACTGTAAAACAAATTTATTTTCGAGGAAAAAGTAAATCTCATCACGATAAAAGTAAAAGTGAAACAAAACAGATTAATCAAGGCTTATCGTCTATTGTGATGCTGCGGCTGTTGCGTACATAAATTTGAATACCAAAACAAATTGCTGCTAAATTTACTGCTGCATACCCACTTTGCGGTTAAAAAAAAAATGAGGGAATCATACATCACATGGCTACCGCACATACAGAAGTAGTTGGCCCGCCTATCGCATTGTATGTAAATGTTCTTGGCTGTACAAATACATATATATATACACTTCTTTTAGCTTGAAGTCATAAGGCTGCACCCATACACTGATGTCATACTTTAAAGCAAACATTCAAGAAAAACAAAAAAAGACAACCCACAAGGAAGCTGTTGCTGATTGTAATTTAAAGCGTGAAATTCCCTGGAGCGCATAATGGGGCGGCATGGTAGCACACAAATGAAAGTATAGAACAAGAGAAATGAAATGGTATGAAGCTAAGTCAAATAAAAAATAAAATAAAGTAAAACACAATAAAACAAAAATAAAGTAAAATAAAACAAAATAAAATAAAGTAAAACAAAATAAAAAATAAAATAATATAAAATAAAATAAAATAAAATAAAATAAAATAAAATAAAATAAAAT